AAATATTGATTCTGTTTGCTTTTTTTTTATATTACCAGAATTAAAAATACTTAAAGGTTTAAAAAATATAGTTATTTTTACAAAAAATTACCTGAGTAATTATCTGATTAATCATAAGCTTTTTATATTAAAAACATATAAGCTTTTTTCCATTTAAGTAAAATTTTATTTTAAAATAATTCAAAAACGTATCTTTCCTATTTGTGTTTAATTAGAATGTTTGACGTTTATTTAATATTTATAATTTTCAATTACTTATAAAGATATCGTTATAAAATATTTACAAAATTAATAACTTAATGCATCCAATTTATTTTTAAATAATTTTAATTTTAAAAGCTTAGAAAATAAATTAAAATAAGAAAAAAAATTATATAATAATAATAATAATGCTTTCTTTCGTTTATTTTATTATTGATTTGATAAAGAAATTTAAACATAACCATTTTGATAAAAAAAAAAGAAAATGTTTTTTTATCATTTGTCTATTAAATATTCATGAAGAAATGTTGTTAATTTAATTATTATATATTTTATCAAATTTTTTTTCTCCCCCAATTTCATTGAATAAACCTGCAAAAGTAATTTAAAATGCACATTTTATACAAGTTTTATATTTAATTTAAATAATAAAATACTCTAGGGAAATAAGGAATAGACTTCATAAGTAGTTTTAAATGTTACCGTATTTAATCCATTTATAAATTTTATTCGATGCATATAGGAGTACATTTAGAAAAGAAAACAACGTTGCAAACAACATTTTTAAGTGCACGGAAAACAATTTCATTTAAAATATACGTAGATATATATGGAATAGCTACAATATAATTACAAATGTCCCTATCTTTGTTATATCTAAAACTGATTGCAGGGAAATTGTTCCTGACAACTATCTTATTAAGACGGTGGTTGATGGCCGCCTGCTACAGATTGATTTATATATATATATGTATATATACAGAACCAATTCTGTATGGGATAGAAAAATCTGGTAAAATTAATAAATACTGTGGCAAATATACGATCTGATAAAAGCTGACATATTTGGATAAGGAATGAAATAAAAAAAATTTTTTTTTGAAATTAATATTCAAATTTTTATTCATGCAGCTATTTTATTATTGTTATATATTTTATGCCACTGTATTAATTTAAATAATTTTTTTAATATATACTAAGTCATTAAATTGTCTTATAATTGTGTAGTGTAATAGATTTTATAAGTTAGAATTTATGAATATTTTTGTTGGCTTCTGTCGTTAAAAAAATATATAAATTTTTATCCTATAGAAATGCATTTTACTTATTTATGTTAGAATCCTTAGAAGATATGCTGCCTCTTGTTTTGTAAAGATTTACATAAGAGATTTTCTTTAGTAAATCTGGGGGGAAAATGAAAAATACTATGTAAAAAACAAAAGAAAACAAACAATGGAATGAAAAATTGAAGAAGGTAAAGGAACAAAATTTGAAAATTTTGAATGAAAAGAATATATTACTTATACTCCATTATAAGATAATAAAATATATGGAGTATGATTTATTCTATTATTTTCTTATGACTATAAAATATAGGAGAAACCTACCGTATAAATTATTATTCTGTTGTATATATTACTATATATAAATTATACTATATAAGTTAAAAAAAATTAATTGTAATCTATTTTAAAATAGTTTTAAATTCGTTATTAAAATGATTTCGTATAAAAATTTTATCGCTTAAATATTTTTTTAGCCTTTAATTTTAATGAAATATTATTAAATTAAATTAAAAAACGTTAATATATAAATAGAATTAACTATATAATTTTTAAATAATTGAACATTACAATCTTATAAATGCAAATGATGTTTTAACATTATTAAAAAGTTTTCTCCCTGCTTTATATAAAAAATTGATATTATTATATACGTTTAAAATTTTATTATCATTCAAAAGATATTATAAAATAGATTTATTGCTAGAGTCTTTGACAGGTTAATTCATATGCATGAAAATCATTTTTTGAAAAATTGTTTTATATACAGTAGTTATGGTTGTTATAAATTTGATTCCTTTTCCAGTGAATAACTGTAAATCGAATTGTTATTACTTTAGATTTTATTTTTTTAAACAAAAAATATTAATAAAAATAATATTAAAAAACCATATTATAACATTACAAATGTAAACAGTAAACTTTTCAAGAACATTTTACTAAATGTTGTATTTTCGTGAAAGAATATATACAATGTCTAATGGTTAAAACACAGTATTTTTCAGTTTAGATGGCTTGTCTATTTTCCTAATAAAATATAGAATTTATGGAAGTTTTATTACGATTTCTGTTATTTTATTGATATAAACGATTATGTTTATGTTTTATTATTCATTCGTAGATTAAATTTGAAAAATAACATAAGATTATCCTCATTTATAACGCGTTTATAGAGATAATTATAATTTTCTTTTAAACATCACATTTTTATCCTACAGAAAAAGCAAAAATATATTTGACAGGCTTATATTTCTTTACAGAAATGTAAATTTTTTCGATAGTTTTTATTTTTTAAAATATACTGTCATTTTTTGTTGGGTAATATTAATGTCGTTGATTAGTTCTGATGCTCATGCAAATTTTGTTTTTAATTTTTAAAAGTAAATTAATTTAAAAAATACAATAAAAAAACTCTAATATATTTTTAACAATATCGCTTCTATATCTATTATTAATATGTTATGTATTTATTGTTTGATAAAATAATAAATTATTTTTATTTTTATTTAAAAA